GGTACATTTTATAGTATGTGTATTTTACCACAAAAATAAATAAATGTTTATTGAGCTCTTACCATGGACCCAGCTTCAGGACCAAGTAATTAATATAATAACATCATTCAGTTCTCTTGAGGTGGGTCTTTTTTTTTTTTTTTTTTGAGTCAGAGTTTCGCTCTTGTTACCCAGGCTGGAGTGCAATGGCGCGATCTCGGCTCACCGCAACCTCCGCCTCCTGGGTTCAGGCAATTCTCCTGCCTCAGCCTCCTGAGTAGCTGGGATTACAGGCATGCGCCACCATGCCGAGCTAATTTTTTGTATTTTTAGTAGAGACGGGGTTTCACCATGTTGACCAGGATGGTCTCGGTCTCTTGACCTCGTGATCCACCTGCCTCGGCCTCCCAAAGTGCTGGGATTACAGGCATGAGCCACCACGCCCAGTGAGGTGGGTCTTCTTAGATGCTCCATGCTACAGGGGAGGGAAACTGAGGCTGGGAGAAATGAATCACCTGAGGTCAGAGGACCAGAAGAGTCTGAGCTCGGCTCAGACAGCAAGCCTGCCCGACCCTCCATCTTGTATGTAACTCTCGTCATCCCCCAACAAAAGTCTTAACCTGGGATTCAGCAATTGAGAGGAATGCAGGCAGAGAGAGATGGCCTAGAGGCCTAGTGCGGTGGCTCACGCCTGTAATCCCAGCACTGTGGGAGGCTGAGGTGGGTGGATCGCTTGAGGTCAGGAGCTCCAGCCCAGCCTGGCCAACATGATGAAACCCCGTCTCTACTAAAAATACGAAAAGTAGCCGGGCATAGTGGTGGATGCCTGTAGTCCCAGCTACTTGGGAGGCTGAGGCAGGAGAATCACTTGAACCCCGGAGGAGGAGGCTGCAATGAACTGAGATCTTGCCACTGCATTCCAGCATGGGCAACAGAGCAAGGCCCCGTCTCAAAAAAAAAAAAAAAAAAGATAGCCTAGAGCTGGAAAAACAGGAACTCAGGCGTGGTGGTTCACACCTGTAATCCCAGCACTCAGAGAGGCCAAGGCAGGTGGACTGCTTGAGCCCAGGAGTTTGAGACCAGCCTGAGCAGCACGGTGAAACCTTATCTCTACTAAAAATACAAAAAATTGTCAGGTGCGGTGGCTCACACCTGTAATCCCAGCCCTTTGGGAGGCTGAAGTGGGTGGATCACAAGGTCAGGAGTTCTAGACCAGACTGGCCAACATGGTAAAACCCCGTCTCTACTAAAAATACAAAAATTAGCCAGGCATGGTGGCGGGCGCCTATAGTCCCAGCTACATGGGAGGCTGAGGCAACAGGATGGCCTTTACCCGGGAGGCAGAGGTTGCAGTGATTCAAGATCATGCCACTGCATTCCAGCCTGGGTGACAGAGTGAGACCCTATATCAAGAAGGGAAGAGAAAAAAAAAAAAAAAAAGAGGAGAGGAGAGGAGGGGAAGGGAGAGGAAGGGAGGGGAGGGGAGAGGAGGAAAGGAGAGGGAGGGAGGGAGGAAGGAAGGAAGGAAGGAAGGAAGGAGAAAAAGAAGAGTGAAAGAAAGAAAAAGGTGAAAATCCATCCAAATGAAACAAAGACCCGGGAGTCTGAAAGACAAGAAGCAGAAAGGAGAGAGAAGAGATGAGAGAGAAAGGGTGAGATTGAGAAGCTGAAAAGGATGAGGGAAGAGCTGGAAAGCAAAAGGGGTGGAAGAGATGAAGCTGCAGAGGCTGGATGCTGGGAGCGAAGGCTGGCCAGAGGCTGGGCGTGGCTCTAAATGCTGGCGATAATCTTCACAACCTGCCACTGAGGCAGGGAGCGTTCTCATCACCCCCGGTTCTTTCCAGCGGGACACTGGAAGGTCACAGATGGGTGAGCCTGGGGCTGGTCCTGGGGACCCCTGTTCCTCCTCCGACATTTTTTTTCTTTTTTAAGAGTCAGGATCTCTTCTCTCTGTCTCCCAGGCTGGAGGGCAATGGGCAGTCATAGCTCCCTGCAGCCTCAAACTCCTGGACTCAAGCAATCCTCTCATCTCAGCCTCCCGAGTAGTGGGGACCACAGACACACATCACCACGCCCAGCTAATTTTTTAAACTTTTTGTAGAGACAGAGGTCTCGCTATGTTGCCCAGGCTGGTCTCAAACTCCTGGCCTTCATCAATCATTCCTCCTCAGCTTCTCAAAGCACTGGATTCCAGGCGTGAGCCACTGCACCCGGCCCCTGATCCTTCATACATTGGCTTTAGGGGAGATGTCAAGAAAGGACCGTGATGAGACAGGAAAGACAGAATGGACCCATGCCCCACAGACAGAAGGAACGGAGCAGTTCCTGTTTCTACCTGCCCCTCCCAGAAGAAAAAAAAAAAAGAAAGAAAAAGAAATTAAAGAATCAACCCAGACTTTAAATGAGATCCAACATTTTAATCGGTTTCATTCTGTGGGTGGCCAGAGAAGGGGGAGCCGGAGGCCAGGGCGTGGGGAAGAGGAGGACAGAGAAAGCCCCCCACCTTCTCAGGGGGGCTCCCGGCTTCTTCCTTCTGCCCCCACCGGCCTTGTCACTCTTCCTGGCTTTAGGGCGGAGAACGTTTGACATCCCCCGTGCACAGACTGAAGAAACAGCACCCAGGAGCCCGCCCCAGGAAAAGCCCCTTGGAACCTCCTCCTCAGATTCAGCTCTCTGCCCTCTCTGACTCCCAGCAACGTCTCAGAAAACCCCCAGAATCAGGCTCTCTCAAAGTCTTACCCCGTGGGCCTGTGATGGGGCCCCCCCGGCCTCCCCAACTTCTCTTTCCCAGAACGTTTCTTCCATCCTTCAGTCCCTCCCGACACCCAAGTTTCTATGACTTGTTTGCACGAGACACAGCCTCCCCCGTGAATGAGAAGATTCTCGTCCACACCCGAGTCCCGGGCTCCAGTGCAGAGCGTCACTGTCTCTAAAGAATGTAACTGACAGTGGATTCTGGTCCCAACGTTCGCACAGACCCAGGGCACAATGTCACCTCATCCCTGCCCCTCCATGTGACTTTTGTCTGGCTCCCCTTACCTCCCCAGTGACACTCGTTGTCTTCTTCTGTTTATATTTTCATCCCACACTGGACACCTGAGCCATCCCTGGGTTTTTTTCATTGTTATGTTTGAGACGGAATTTCGTTCTTGTCGCCCAGACTGGAGTGCAGTGGCATGATCTCTGCTAACTGCAACCTCCGCCTCCCGAGTTCCAGCGATTCTCCTGCCTCAGCCTCCCAAGTAGCTAGGATTACAGGCGCCCACCACCACACCTGGCTTAATTTTTGTATTAGTAGAGACGGGCTTTCACCGTTTTGGCCAGGCTGGTCTCGAACTCCTGACCTCAGGCAATCCGCCTGCCGTGGCCTCCCAAAGTGCTGGGACTACAGGCATGAGCCACCGCAACTGGCCCACTCCTGGGCTTAATGTCCCAGAACCCAGCATGACTGGGGCCCATGAGAGATGAACATGTTTTATGTTGAATAAAAGCTTCTTTGGGGGCTCTGGAGATCAGGGTGTGCCCCTCAGGGGGTCTGGGCTGTGTGCATCTCTTCCGGTCTGGTGGTGGAAAGGTCTGATACCTCCCAGCCTCTCTTCACACCCAGCTGTTCTCCTAACATTGGGGTGCTGCTGACAGCGTGTACCTGCTCGTAAGCACAGATGGTGCCCTGTCTCTTCCCAGCTCTTAGTCCAGTGACCTCAGGTTGCTAGCTTGAAGTCAGCCGTGGTGGGAGTATTGACACCACAGAAACTGACACAGGCTGCAACACCAAGCTTTTCTCCTTCCTTGGAGAGCCCGTCGTTAGACCTTGGCCAGCACACCACTGCCTGCCTGCCCTACTTTTTGTCCCTTGCCTCCTGAACTCCACTGATGAAGGGCTCTCGGATCCCGCCTCCCCACCCAAAACTGAAGGGAGAACTCAGACTGAGGACGCAGGGGCCCGGCACCCAACTTCTGAGCATCCAACGACCTGACTCCGTCTCCAGGTTCTCACAAGGGCTTGCCTGTGTCACCATGAGTAAAATTCTATTTCAAGAAATCATGGTGCCACCCCTGGAAAACGTCCTCAAGCCAAGCTCTAGTTTTCAATCCCACCATCAAAACTGAAAACCAAAAACAAAAAAAAACTCTAAAAAAGGGAATGTCTGTTTGAAATATAGGGCTGCCTCCTCCAATCTATTTCCCCTCTTCCTGTCTCTTATTTACAGATGGAAGGCTCCAGCTGCTTCTCTGTGAAATGGCCACAACTACGCGGGGTTCGTCCCATGCAGCTACCCCAATTCCACCAGTGTCTGGATGAAATTCACCTTTAGAAAATCCTAAAATGAAAGAAAAAAGGAGTAGAGATGGAACACGCAAGTTGCCTTTCATTTCCCTACCAAGTAGACACATTTCCAATGTGCTAATGAGAGAATGCGTGATAAAATGTCTTTAAAAAGAAACTAAGAAGTACATATATGTGGATCTACATATATGAATATATAGCTCTTCCGCTCTCACACAGCCCCCTACACCTACCATGTAAGCCTGATATTTCTGAAGTCTGTCAAATTTCCAGACAATTTCTTTTTAACGTAACTGCATCATTGGCCTAAGGTTTCCCGATGGGGTTTCTTAAAGTCTGTCTTTGGAATTTCTAGAAGGGTCCCTAACCATATGCTAAAGAAACGTCCATGTGTAGGGTCTGGCATGGTGGCTCACGCCTGTAATTCCAGCACTCTGGCAGGCCGAGGCGGGCGGATCACTTGAGGTCAGGAGTTCGAGACCAGCCTGGCCAATATGCTGAAAACCCATTTCTACTAAAAATACAAAAATTAGCCGGGCATGGTGGGGCACACCTGTAATCCTAGCTACTCAGGAGGCTGAGGCTGGAGCATCACTTGAACCCAAGACGTGGAGGTTGCAGTGAACCGAGATCACACCATTGCACTCCAGCCTGGGTGACAACGAGACTCCATCTCAAAAAAAAAAGGAAAAAAAACATGTCCATGTGGAAAGTTAAGGAGTCGAGGCCCCCTACCTGCTTATTCAAGGGCACGGTGATTCTGACCTACGGACATGACCCCAAATCAACTTTTGGTTTGATTTCTTCTTGGAGGAAGTTCTCAGCAAGTTTCTGAAGCCTGGAGCTCGTGACGTACTTCAGCGGTCACAGTCGTGTCGCCAGACGGTGTTGGGGTCAAGAGAATCACTGGGACCTGTGAGCTGTCCCAGCAAAGGGAGGAGCCTCTCCCTGTGGAGGAAACGGGTGGGCTCTGTGGAGCTAAGCTGGACCCAGAGCCGCAGAGGCCACGGTCTTGGGAAGGACTGCTGGCTCCGGCTGCTTTCTCAGGAATGCCGTCCCGGAATCTAAGCTGCAGGGACGCAGATTCAGATGAGAGAGGGTCCCGAGTCCCGACGGAGCGAGATGGAGACTGCGTCCTCTACAAGATCTGAAACTTCCAGGCACTCTGATCCTTGTAGTCCAGAGGGTCCATGGGATTGTAGGTGAATTTCCAGGTACCCGTGGGGTCCTTGAATTCCAAGCTATCCACGGGGCTGTAGGCGCCATAGCTCTGGCCTGATAGGGACGTGGGGGACTGGGCCAGGGAGGGCCCCACGGAGGGGCCAGAGAGGGGGCTAAGAGCCGGGCCCCCCAGCTGGGGCACCATGGGAGAAAGGTAGGGGTCTAGGCCACTGAAATAGGAGCTCGGAGACCCATAGGCGGAGGGGGAAGAGCAGAAAGCGGAGGCTGGGGCGTAGGTCATGGCATAGGGGGCCGAGGTCAGAGATGGCGCAGAGGCCACCAGCCCAGCCCGCTGTGCCTCAGGCAAAGGGGACTCTGAGGCCGGGCTCCAGATGGACACAGTGGCCACGGCCGTGCTGGGGGAGCCTGAGGGGCCGGGCAGAGGGGGGCTGTAAGAATCTGAGATGCCCAGGGGGTCTGGACACACATCCGTGGAGGGTCTTGGGGACGTGCCCGCCTTCCTCTTGGCAGGCCGGGCCTTGGCCTGACCCCCTGGGGGCTGCTGCTGCTGTTTCTGCTGCTGCCGCTGCTGCCTGCATTTAGCCCTGCGGTTCTTGAACCAAACCTGAGGAGTGAGAGGGGAGATAGGGGCGGGTCAGTGAGGAAGAGGCCCAGGAGAGCCGCAGGGTGCCCAGGAATGAGGATGTTTATTGGTGAGAGGTGCTAGGGTCACATTTCTCTACTTTGCATCCAGCTGTGGGGCATCTATTCACCCATCTATCCATCCACTCATACATGCATGTGTACGTGAACACACACATACATCACACCCACATCCACCCATCCAATACACAATTATACACACACCATACACACATACACCATGCATACATTTACCCATCTACCTGATCATACACACATACATTGTATATATATTCATCCATCTGGTCACACAAACATACAAATATACAATTACAGGCACATATATGGTACACATATACATCATTCATAGCTGCACTTTATCTAATCATACATACAACACACATATTTCATTTATCAATCCAATTATACTACGTGTACACGCACATGTGTACATCATACATGCATCATACAAAATACATGTGTGCAATTATACATGCATATGCCATACACACATTCATCTGAGCGTACACGCATACCTCATACGTGTATATGTCATACACACATTCACCAGTCCATCTGATCACACATGCATTGCACAGACGCTTACCCATCTGATGATACGTCCAGGTGTACACACATATATCGTACATAGATTTATTTATCCATCTTATACATATAATCATATGCACATACATCATACATGCATTAATGGTCTAATTATACATACATCATGTGCACATTCATCATCCATCTGATCATACAAGCATACAAATATACAATTATACACACACACATCATTCACATTAATCCATCCCATCATACATATATACATTCCTACACACATTTTGTCTGTCCAATCACATATACATGCATACACTCATATATATATACACCCATCCATCCAATCATGCATGCATACATTCAACCATCTATCTTATACCTATGTGCGTTCATGCAAACACACATATATACATGTATCCATCCAATCATACAGATACTCATGTATGCACACACTCATCCATGCTTCCAATCATACACACACACACATCAGCCACACATACATACATTCATGTATACATTCATCTGTGCACCCACCCATCCATCCTTCCTCAGTCAGTTCATTAACACGCATTAACCATCTTCTACTACTCTGAGGGGCCATCCGTGGAATTGCCATCCTAGTTGGGAAAGACAGAGTCTAAACAAACAGTAAATATGTAAATCAGATGGTATCTTAGAGGGCGATAAATACTGGGGAAGAAACAAGTGACGGGGGTAAGGGGCAGCCGTGGAGTCAGGGTCGTGGGGAAACTGCAGGGTGAAATGCTGTGGTCAGTGTAGGTCTCACTGATCAATAAGCAAAGACTCAAACAAGGTGATGGGGCCTGCCGTATGGTTATCTGGAAAATGAGCGTTCCCGAGAGAGGACACTGAGTGCAAAGGCCCCAGGCAGGGGGGTGCCCGGCAGGCAGGTCAGAGGCCAGCGTGGCTGGAGAGGCTCGGAGGGCGATGAGAGCAGTCGGAGGCGGGGAATCAGCGGGATGGTGGGGAAGGAATTATTGTCCCCTTTATAACTGTGGCTGTAACCCTGTGACCTCTCCCTCCTCCCATCACTCTGGGTCCAGGGAGGGCCCATGGAAGGTCACAGGAAGGGTCGGGAGGGCTCTGGGGACCCGCCACCACACCTGAACCCTGGACTCGGGCAGATTGATCTTCAGAGCCACCTCCTCTCGGGCATAGACGTCCGGGTACTGAGTCTTGGCAAACAATGCCTCCAGCTCCTCCAGTTGGCTCCGGGTGAAGGTGGTCCGCTCCCTCCGCTGCTTCCTGGGGGCACCTGGGGTGGGATGGGAAACAGGACCCTCAGGTCATCCACATCTGCTGGTGGGAAGAAGCCCTGAGGCTGGTGGGATGCCAAGAATTCCATCCCGGGTGCCGTCTGCTGAACCAAGGGTGGAACAAACGTTCCCTGCCCTTCTACGCCTCTCCCTGTCCTGGCATCCTCTGGCTCATGCCTGACCCCGAGGGGAACTGGCTTTAGCCCTACAAGGTGGTATGAGTCATTTTCCCTCTTCTAAACTCTCTTATGCACGGTCTAAGACATACCCAGTTGAAGTATGACGTCAACCATTTCTAGCCTATAAAAGTAACAAGTTGGGGCAGGGCGCGGTGGCTCAAGCCTGTAATCCCAGCACTTTGGGAGGCCGAGGCGGGTGGATTACGAGGTCAAGAGATCGAGACCATCCTGGTCAACATGGTGAAACCCCGTCTCTACTAAAAAAAAAAATACAAAAAATTAGCTGGGCATAGTGGTGTGCACCTGTAGTCCCAGCTACTCAGGAGGCTGAGGCAGGAGAATTGCCTGAACCCAGGAGGCGGAGGTTGCGGTGAGCCGAGATCGCACCATTGCACTCCAGCCTGGGTAACAAGAGGGAAACTCTGTCTCAAAAAAAAAAAAAAAGTAACAAGTTCACGCCACTCAACTTAGTGGGGAAAAAAAAAAAACGAGCTAAAGAATAATGCTACAAATAACTGAGTGGTCACTCCACTCAGAAATAAGGATCTATGAAAATTAGCCGGAGAGGCCGGGCACGGTGGCTCAAGCCTGTAATCCCAGCTACTCAGGAGGCTGAGGCAGGAGAATCACTTGAACCCAGGAGGTGGAGGTTGCAGTGAGCTGGGCAACAGAGCGAGGCTCTGTCAAAAAGAAAAAGAAAGAGAAAGGAGAAAGAGAGAGAGAGAAGAGAGAGATGAAAGAAAGAAAAAGAGAGAAAGGAAGGAAGGAGGGAAGGGAGGGAGGAAGGAGGGAGGGAGGGAGGAAGGAGGGAGGGAGGGAGGGAGGAGGGAGGGAGGGAGGGAGGCAGGGAGGGAATGAAGAAGTGAAGGAAGGAAAAAGAAACAAAGAAGGCTTTGCAGGCCAGGTGCAGTGGCTCATGCCTGTAATCCCAGCACTGTGGGAGGCTGAGGCAGTTGGATTATTTGAACCCAGGAGTTTGAGACCAGCCTGGGCAACACAGGAAGACCCCATCTCTACAAAAAAATAGGATCATTTTTTTCTATGCTTTTTTATTAATCCAGATCCTGCACAATTTACAAACAATTTAAAAAGTTAGCCAGGCACAGTGGCATGTACCTATAACCCTAGCTACTCGGGAGGCTGAGGCAAGAGGATAGCTTGAGCCCCAGAGTTCAAGGCTGCAGTGAGCCGTGACTGCACCATCGTATTTCACAGAGAGCAACATAGCAAGACCCTGTCTCAAAAGTAAAATTAAAAAAAAAAAAAAAAAAACCTTCGTTGCCTAGTCCCAGTGTTTCACACCTGCAGTCCCAGCTACCCCGGAGGCTGAGGTGGGCGAATCCCTTGAGCCCAGGAGTTCAAGGCTGGGGGGAGCCATGGTCACACCACTGCACTCCAGCCTAGAAGACAGAGCGAGACCCTGTCTCTGAAAAATAAATGAATAATACAGCGTTGCTAACAGATGAAAATTCCTCGATTTCCCTTCCAGATCGCATCCCCTCCTCCCCACCCCAAAAGGAACCTCTACCCTCAATTTCTAGGACTGTGCATGCTTTCCTACATTGCCAAGTGACATGCATTTCAGACGAACCCAGAGAGCTGGTGTATGGCCCCGAGATCGCCCCCGTGACTGCCTTCTTCCTGCGGGCAAAGGGACCCCAGAGGTCCTCCAAGAGATGGGGCCAGCCTGGGGTGCCAAGAGAAACGAATGTACTCACTCGGGTAGGGCACGGCCTGGTGCATCAGATCCACGCTGGGGCCACTGAGGGCCAAGGTGTTGACAGAATAGTGGGGCCCCGGGTTCATATACGCCATCATGATCTTCGGGGACACTGAGGCCCAAGTCAGGGGCCTGCAAGAGAAGTGGAGGGATGCTCGCTCACTTACCAGTGACTCACATGTGGTGACATGCGGTGTGGGAAGCAGAGAAGTTCCTTTTTCAAGTTTCCTTTCTTGTTAAAGAATAAGTGTGCTAATAGCTTTGTGTTTTTTTATGTTAATTTATTATTTATTTTAAGACGGGGTTTCACCATGATGGCCAGGCTGGTCTTGAACTCCCGACCTCAGGAGATCCGCCAGCCTTGGCCTCCAAAGTGCTTGGATTACAGGTGTGAGCCACCATGCGTGGCCGCTAATAACTTTGTTAAACCCTATCCTATGCAGCTGTTAGACATGCCACACTTAGAGGCACATAGCACATTCTATGCCCTTGTGCTTTAACCAAGATATCTGTGCTGGACGTGCTCACAGGCATGTCCCAGCTCTCCATTGCTTTGACCTGTTTAGAAAAGTTTTAGGGCCGGGCGCGGTGGCTCACGCCTGTAATCCCAGCACTTTGGGAGGCCGAGGCGGGTGGATCACGAGGTCAAGAGATCAAGACCCTCCTGGTCAACATGGTGAAACCCCGTCTCTACTAAAAATACAAAAAATTAGCTGGGCATGGCGGTGCGTGCCTGTAATCCCAGCTACTCAGGAGGCTGAGGCAGGAGAATTGCCTGAACCCAGGAGGCGGAGGTTGCAGTGAGCCGAGATCGCGCCATTGCACTCCAGCCTGGGTAACAAGAGCGAAACTCCGTCTCAAAAAAAAAAAAAAAAAAAAGTTTTAAGTTATTTGCCAATCGGGTTTTAGTTTAGATTGTGAGGTCTGGCTCCAACCAACGGAGATCAGACCCAGCAGTGAGGACGACCCCAAATGCATAAGGGATAAATACGTGTGTTTTCCTTTATTCATTGTACTCTCGTGGCAAGGTGGCTAGCGAGGGTACCCTTCCTGCAGTCCAGGAAGTAAAAATTGTGTTACTGAAAGATCCATTGTCTCGGTGCTAATTTTTCTTTGCGGCACTGAGCATCTATTTCCAACATGCAGGCTGAGATTCAAACCTGCCTCGGTCTCTTCTTAGGTACGTGGCCTTGACCATTTATCTCACCTCTCTATGCCTGTGTGTCCGCACACGTAAAACGGCCTCTGCTTAAGGTTCTCAGAGCTTCCTTGAGACTCTGCAAAGCAGAGAGCTGAAGCCGTCATGCACCTCATAAGTGCAAGCTCTTTTTCCTACTCTATCCTCTATAAAATCTGGTCCTGGCCAGGCACAGAGGCCCACACCTGTAGTCCCAGCACCTTGGGGGGCTGAGGCGGGAGGATCTCTTCAGCCCAGGAGTTCGAGACCAACCTGTGGAATACAGCAAGACCTTGTCTCTTTTAAAAAAAGTGTTTTTTTAAAATTAACCGAGTGTAGTATTGCACACCTGTAACCCCAGCTACCCAGGAGGCTGAGATGGGAGAATCACTTGAGCCCAGGAGTTTGAGGCAGCAGTGAGCTATGTTCAGGCCACTGCACTCCAGCCTTGATGACACAACAAGACTCTGAAAAAAAAAAAAAAACAAAAAAAAACCTGATCCTGTAACACTTCCTCATCCAAGAGCCCTTCTTTCTGTGACCACGGGCAAACACGCTCAGCCTCACTTATAATCGAGGAGTGCGGGTTGACCAGCAGTCTGTTTGCCCAGAATGGAGGAGAGGTGGGTGTTTCTTGGAACATAGGACTTTCAGTGCGGAAACCAGAATGGTCCCAGACAAATTGGATGGGTTGGTCACCCTGAGGGAGAGTGGCATTAAAATGACAGTAAGGGCCAGGCAAGGTGGCTCACGCCTATAATCCCAGCACTTGGGGAAGCCAAGATGGGCAGATCTCCTGAGGTCAGAAGTTCAAGACCAACCTGGCCAACATGATGAAACCCCGTCGCTACTAAATATACAAAAATTAGCCAGGTGTAGTGGTGAATGCCTGTAATCCAGCTACTCAGGAGGCTGAAAAAAACAAAAACAAAAACAGAAAACAGCATTTATGTTCAGCTGGTAACATAGTAAGACTCCCCCATTTCTACAAAAAGTTTAAAAAAAAAAAACTAAGGGGGGTGCAGTGGCTCATGCCTATAATCCCAGCACTTTGGGAGGCCAAGGAAAGCAGATTACCTGAGGTCAGAAGTTCGAGACCAGCCTGTACAACACGGTGAAACTCTGTCTCTACTAAAAATACAAACAATTAGCCAGGCATGGTGGTACATGCCTGTAACCCCAGCAACTCAGGAGATTGAGGCAGGAGAATCATTTGAACCCAAGAGGCAGAGGTTGCAATTAACCAAGGTCGTGCCGTGGCACTCCAGCCTGAGTGACAAGATCAGTTTTGAAACTCCATCTCAAAATTAAAATAAAATAAATGCAGCATATTAATAATGGTCAAAATGTAGAACTAGACTCTATGTTCACCAAAGGGTTTATATTAACTAAATCATATACATTATGTAAATCGTTTTAAGTAAAATACGGCATTTCCATGCAAAGGAATTCTATAAAATCATTTGAAAGTATAAGACTGCTCTTGCCGGGCTCAGTGGCTCAAGCCTGTAATCCCAGCACTTTGGGAGGCCGAGGCGGGTGGATCACGAGGTCGAGAGATCGAGACCATTCTGGTCAACATGGTGAAACCCCGTCTCTACTAAAAATACAAAAAACTAGCTGGGCGTGGTGGCGCGTGCCTGTAATCCCAGCTACTTAGGAGGCTGAGGCAGGAGAATTGCCTGAGCCCAGGAGGCGGAGGTTGCAGTGAGCCGAGATCGCGCCATTGCACTCCAGCCTGGGCAACAAGAGCGAAACTCCGTCTCAAAAAAAAAAAAAAAAAAAAAAGACTGCTCTCTATGAACTGATTTTATGAACTGATTTTACAAGATTTCTGGTACAAAGTTTTAAAAAATTGTTCTAGGGGGCCGGGTGCAGTGGCTCATGCCTGTAACCCCAGCACTTTGGGAAGCCAAGGTGGGCGGTTCACCTGAGGTCAGGAGTTCAAGACCAGCTTGACCAACATAGAGAAACCCCATCCCTTTGTTTGTTTGTTTGTTTTTATTTCAGAGCTACTGGAAATCAAGAGAAAACCCATCTCTAAAAAAAAAAAAGAAAAAGAAAAAGAAAAAAGGTTAAAAAAAAAACACTTTAAAAAAATTTGTTCTAGGCTTGGCAATAAGACAAAAGGCGGACTTTTTTTTTTCTTTTTTTTTTGAGATGGAGTTTCGCTCTTGTTAGCCAGGCTGGAGTGCAATGGCGCGATCTCGGCTCACCGCAACCTCTGCCTCCTGGGTTCAGGCAATTCTCCTGCCTCAGCCTCTTGAGTAGCTGGGATTACAGGCACACGCCACCATGCCCAGCTAATTTTTTGTATTTTTAGTAGAGACGGGGTTTCACCATGTTGACCAGGATGGTCTCGATCTCTTGACCTCGTGATCCACCCGCCTCGGCCTCCCAATGTGCTGGGATTACAGGCTTGAGCCACCGCGCCCGGCCAGTTCCAAGTCTTTTGGAGTCCTGCCTCACATCTAACAGACCCACCCGAAGTGTACTTCATATTCTAAGGCAGCAGGGTTTTTTGTTTTGTTTTTCCTCAGTTGTGGCATATACCTTTGCAAATAAGGGCAGCAGTTTTCAACATTTTTGGTACCAGGCACTGGTTTCACAAAAGACAATTTTTCCATGGATGGGGGTGGGCCGTGCATTAGATTCTCACAAGGAGCATGTAACCTAGACGGCTTACATGCACAATTCACATTAGAGTTCACGCTCCTATGAGAATCTAATGCCGCCACTGATCTGACAGGAGCCGGGGGTAGGGGATCCTATTCTAAGGGACTGTACCTGTGTTTGATTTACTTTTTTTTTTTTTTTTTTTTTTGAGACAGAGTCTCACTATGTCACACAGGCTGGAGTGCAATAGCGCCATCTCGGCTCACTGCAACCTCCACCACCCCGGTTCAAGTGATTCTCCTGCCTCAGCCTCCTGAGTAGCTGGGACTACAGGCGCCTACCACCACATCCAGATAATTTTTGTATTTTTAGTAGAGATGGGGTTTCACCATGTTAGCCAGGCTGGTCTTGAACTCCCGACTTCATGATCTGCCCACCTTACCCTCCCAAACTACTGGGATTACAGGCGTGAGCCACCACACCTGGCTTACTATTCTTTTTTTTTTTTTTTTTTGAGACGGAGTTTTGCTCTTGTTACCCAGGCTGGAGTGCAATGGCATGATCTCGGCTCACGGTAACCTCCGCCTCCTGGGTTCAGACAATTCTCCGCCTCAGCCTCCTGAGTGGCTGGGATTACAGGCACACACCACAATGCCCAGCTAATTTTTTGTATTTTTAGTAGAGATGGGGTTTCACCGTGTTGACCAGGATGGTCTCGATCTCCTGACCTCGTGATCCACCCGCCTCAGCCTCCCAAAGTGCTGGAATTACAGGCTTGAGCCACCGCGCCCGGCTTACTATTCATTATTGATTAGAGTCCAGACTTTGGTAAGGTAAATGGTAACTTCAGGGGCCAGTGCAGTCGTTCAAGTCTGTAATCCCACCACTTTGGGAGGCCAAGATGGGTGGATCACGACATCTGGAGTTCAAACTCAGCCTGACCAAGATGCTGAAACCCCGTCTCTACTAAAAATACAAAAATTAGCCGGGCGCGGTGGCTCAAGCCTGTAATCCCAGCACTTTGGGAGGCCGAGGCGGGTGGATCACGAGGTCGAGAGATCAAGACCATCCCGGTCAACATAGTGAAACCTCGTCTCTACTAAAAATACAAAAAATTAGCTGGGCATGGTGGCACGTGCCTGTAATCCCAGCTACTCGGGAGGCTGAGGCAGGAGAATTGCCTGAACCCAGGAGGCGGAGGTTGCGGTGAGCCGAGATCACGCCATTGCACTCCAGCCTGGGTAACAAGAGCGAAACTCTGTCTCAAAAAAAAAAAAAAAATACAAAAATTAGCTGGGTGTGGCGGCAGGTGCCTGTAATCCCAGCTACTTGGGAAGCT